CGTGCGATGGCCTGCATGATGACTGGCAGGATGCAACCGTTAAAATTTGATGACTGGCAGGATGCAACCGTTAAAATTTACCCTACCATTATCTATCCACTTAGGTAAAGCGGTATGCAGCGACTAGGAAATCCAATGAGCACCCAAAAGATCTCACCCCTGTAGCCATGGCCTTTTCATAGGTGGCACGTAGAAACTGCCACTCTGGGATATTCCGCAAGCGGTGAACCAAGGGGTTCTCCGCTGCAGTGTCCGCCAGCTCGAGAGAATCTTGCACCGTGCAGCCACTTATGAACTCCATGGCCTCTAGGTTGAAGGATGCAGACGGCAGCTTCTCCTTGGCACCTGCAGACATGCTGCCCACACGCTCACATAGCTTGGGCAGGAAAGAGAAGATGGCCACCTTAAGCGGCTCCAGCAAGGCAGGTGATATTTCTAGCATGAAGTGCTGTGCCCAGTAGGCAGTTTTAAGCTTGTCCGGCGTGCAACAGTCGAAACCCGCAAGCATCAGTAATCCATCGTATGGGACAGGCATGAGGTATGACTCCACGAGTGCACTGCCCTCCTGCCAGTGGCCCATGCGCTGAGCTGTCTCTCGTGACGCCCTGCATGCAAAAAGGAAGCTCAGGGATTAATTGATGTTCACTCCAGAACTGCTTCATTGCCTGGAATGCCTACCCTGCTGCATCCAGAGCCTGGGTTCCTCCCACACGGAACACATGAGTCCTCTTCCGTGTGATGATCTCCATGCACCGCATGATGTCCTTCACCATGTCATGCTGCTGCGTGTAGTTGATTGCCTTGTTGGTCGTCATGGCGCGCAGCAGCACACATGTCAGCCTACATGCATGGAAGAAGCCTATTAAGGATACCTCAACTGAAAAGTGCAAAGTCACTTCTAATCTTACCACTCCTCCTCATTCAATGGGTTTGGATAGTTCTCGCCCTCCATCGTGAAGCGGACGTACAGGTACTCCGCCATCGCCCTGATTGGACACTTTATCGCTGTCACGCCCGACCACTCTACATGCAATGGCAACAACCGATTTTTATAATGAGGCAGTTGAAAGGTGATTCGTATTCTTACACCTGGCCAGATCCCAATACCATTTCGTACCCGCTGAGCCTTGCCGCCCTCCAACACGATGTTGATGTACTTAGCCTCACACAGCCCAACAGTCTGCGCAACTCTGGGCTTCCCAATGCAGCAGAGTAACAGCAAACGGCTGTCATCCCCACGGGTCACCGTGTGGTGAAGCAGCTGTATTGTAAACTGCCCAAGTGACACCCGGTAGAGTGACTTCCATCCGAGAGTCCGCATTGCAGCGGTGCCAGACGCCATCAGCGAGGAAACCCTGCCAATCTGGTCCTCATCGTAGGCGTCATTCACTGTCTGGGCGTGTGGGAAAAAGACAGGAAGCCAGTAAGATCTCGTCCCCCACGAAAACAACTCTGGGGTTCTATCTTACTTTGAGCCCTTCTTGCCAAGACATATTTCCTTGGCCAGATCGAACTCGTGCTTAAGCTCCTCCACAGCTGAGACAGGAGGCTCATCCGTGGCGGTTGGCAGTGCCAGACGGTTTGTTTTGTCTAATTTGACAATAGCACTGCGCACTCCCTCGAGGGTTTTGAAGCCAACCTGTGCAATTAGAACATCATCGTTATATGCATTTCATGGGGACGATAATATTCATTGTGATTAGGTAACCCGCTTGTACCTTCTCCTCTGCAAGCTGCCTGAACAGGACTCCAGCGAGGGCACCAAGCTCCCTGCCCAAGGTCTTGCCCATGTCCACATCCTTTTTCTGGCATAGAGCCTGCAACGCACAGGCTTGTAACAGGCTGTCAAGAACCGTTCGATTCGTTGCCTAACACAATCATGCCGTCCAAAAACCTGTCCCTCCTCCCCCCTCACTCCAGTGCGCAAAACATGTTCCCTCACGCTCCCCCTCTCTCCCCCACACATATTTTATTCTTATAATTCACCCGTGCCCATGTGCAGTACCAACCAGGAGCTTGTTCAGCTGTGAATCGTAGGTCCTCTTTGTGTTCGGCTTCCCGGACGCCTTCGTGCGTTTCGCGAGATCCGCGCGCGCGTCTGAATCGTAAGCAAACCTGCATGCATAATATGAGTTTCTATTAGCATTGCTTAATTTGTTGGGCTTCTGGGTGGAGAGCGCAGCTTCTTGGTTCATAAATCTTTCCTGCCGCTTCCTCTCTTCCCCCGTAGTGTCATCCAACAAAATTCCTTTTTCATTATCCAATGCGTTATCCCACTCGCGTTCCAATGCGCGACCTGCTCCCGCCATCGAAGTCAGACCTATGCCTAAACGGGAACCTACCGCTTCCTCTCTTCCCCCGTAGTGTCATCCAACAAAAATTCTTCTTCATTATCCAATGCGTTATCCCACTCGCGTTCCAATGCGCGACCTGCTCCCGCCATCGAAGTCAGACCTATGCCTAAACGGGGACGTAAGGTCACAATTCTTTGTCAATATGTTCTTCGTTAAACGTCTTACTTACAACAATCGTAGAAATTGCGAATACTTTAGTTTTTGGTGTATATGTGAGCTCGAATGGGCTGGGGACCGGAAGGCACATAAATTAGGTCCCTCGCCGGTCCCACGGTCGTACATTCCGGGTCCCCTGGCCCTAGATACGCCCTACACAACTACGGCCCAGTATGTTAGGTTTTCTTGTTAGTTGTTAAGTCGTTAACTTTACTCGTGGACGATCATTTGAGATACGGATAATGTACGACCTTCCGGCGCCGCCTAGGCTCTGGATAACTATTTAAGTCGTTGTTGTTGTTTAGTTTGTTATGTCATCATTGTTACATCTTGTAGGTTGTTAGCTGGCTTAAGTCGCTCGGCCCTCTTTGTAATCATCGTGGCATCCCAACGAGAAACGGAGCCTATGCCCTTTCAGTTGGTATCGATCTAGACGATCCGGCCTATACGCTTCGCTCCGCCTTCGTCTTCATCGTCTTCGTCGTCATCGCTTTCGTCTTCGCTCCGCTGGTCATCTTCGTCATCGTCGTCTTCGTCATCTTCGTCTTCGTCATCCTCCGATGGCTCCCGTCCCCATCACGGGACTCTATCAAGCGCAGCTTGCTATGTTTGCCTTGACGCAGGGTTCCGGACCAAACTCCTTACAATGCTACATTGCGGAATTCCAACGCCTTATGGCTGACCTGCCGTACCGCCACGAGAAGGACCACGTCCTCTTCTTCGCGCAGGGACTGCAGGACGACCTCAGGAAGGAGATCTTCTCGCACTTACGCAACCCGGGTTCCTACATACGACTGCAGGATGTGATCGACCTTGCATGCACCATTTCAATGGAGCACGATGCCGCTCACCGCTCACCGCATTCGCTACCGCAGGGCACCTGCACCATCAACGTCCCCACCGACCGCTCGCCCTTTCGTTCCACCACCTCTCGAACCGCAAACCGCTCTCCCTCCCGCTCCCCCTCCCCCTCTCCGACTCGCACCGACAATTCCGACCGCCGTCGTCAGGACAACGACCGTGGACGCACCTTTCTCTCCAGTTCAGACAGCCCCCAGCCTTGCCGCGATGACCAGCACCGCCGCGCCGACCCACCCCGCCGCCGCCGCCGTTCGCCTCGATCCCGTCAACGTGGCCTTTAAGCCACCACCGGCAGAACAGGTTAGCCACAGCTTGCCGGTGCGTTTTGCTGTGCAACGGTCAGCCGAGTCTGACACCCCGCCGCCGTCACCGTTCAACGTTTCGCGCCTAACCCAGATCGCCAGTAAGCCCGCCCGCCATGTAGGTTGTATGCGTGCTCGTGTAGCTGCAGCCTCCACGACGGAAGCGCACCGGGTGGACAGCGACTGGATGCTTTCGCGCACCGTCTTCGTCCTCTCTTATCTCGTCGTCTCCATCGTCACCTACTTCGTCGTCTTCGTCTCCTCTTATCTCGTCGTCTCCGTCGTCACCTACTTCGTCGTCATCACCAACGTTCTTCGTCTCGCGAAAATCGTCCGTAAGCCTGCCCGTCTTGCCGGCTGCAAGTGTGCTCGTGCAGCTGCAACC